AAATTACGACGGCATAGATGGCAGCGAGGGCATTGTCGCAGAAAACGTTCTCGGGAAGCTGTCGTTTAATCGCGCGATCCCGGGTAATGGCCGAGATTCAGTGGCCGCGAAAGACGACACCGCACACCACCACCCAGAGCGATGGATTCCCATGATTAAGATTTTCATTAATTTACCTGGTTTTCACGAGGTCTATGGGCCATCTCATCTACCACGATTCTGCCTTCAAATTGAATCGAACGTAGGAGAACGCTAGAAACTGCGCTCACCTGCATGTCGCTCACGTATCTATGCATCTATTGTACTATACGTACCTATATGTAGAACGCTCGATCTATCGGTAATATTCATGTCCGTGAGTATACAGATGTCCAGCGCACGAATATAAAAGACGGAGCACGACTTGAATGCTCAGTCTCGGGTATCCTAACTCGGGACTAGGTTTCCAGAGAACCGAATACGTTCTGTCGTGAATGAAACAACCACAGTCGAATACGTTCTCTATCGATTAAATTTCTTCAACGTCATTCATTGCTTAAGCCGATCTTCGTCGTTACTCCGGTAACGAAAAAACTCGTACGACCAAGGATACTAAACAGTTTCCTCGAGTGAAAGTTACGTTGAATCTGTAACGATAGTTCAATCTCTGCAGGCAAACGATGTACGTCACGGAAGAACGAGACACGAAAGATAGATCGTTAAAATGTTAATCAGGACTATAAATTCTTTGTCGCTCCTATCGTACTTTATATACCTGGCGTGGACGGTTTTTCGCAGGCGAAAATATCTACCAAGATAAGACCAGGGACGAAGTTCGGGTCGTAAATCAGAAAACGGGGCGGTCAGTCGTGCCGCTGAGCTTCATCTCGTGTATGGACGTGATTTATACGGTCATCGTGTAGGTATAGTCGAAACTGCAGTTCCAGCAGCCTTCTCGGTCACCTTAGAGACTCGACTTCCTTTTATTGAGTCACGCTTCGGTCAAAGGGTAAGTCGGATCGTATTGAAAATGTTTTTAATATTTTCGCGTGGACATTGTAACCGTAACGAACTAAAGAACTTGATCTAAAGAATTCTTCTTCCTACTTTTTAATGGAAATAGACAAATGCACGTGTACCTTTTGTCGAGTTGACGATGTAACATTTAAGTCCTACGCAATGGACGCTGCCATTGGCAATCAATGTTGGACTAAAATATTTACATAGGTGTTCGTTATACTCAATGTTAATGCCGACGTTTCAATGCAGTTCTTATTTGCTTCGGGTTAATAAAACGCCTTACCAGAGTCGCATCTACGCAAAGCGTAACCTACATTTTACTGCTTACTTTTTCCTCATATTTCACGGTATGCACAAAATCCGGATTGGACGCTCTAAAGTAAACAGTTTCATCTGGTCGTGCGTGGACGTCCGTATTGAAACTGATAATCAAGCTCCTGGACATTTTTTTCTATCGAATTTGCCGGCAACTGAAAATCTAAATAAGCGAAAGACCAACTTGAAAGGAAAATTCGCGTGGGAAAATGTGGAAAATTCAAGCGAAACGAGATTCCAAAGTTTATTAGAACGAATTGAATTGGTTCCACATCGTGTTCTAAATATTACGGCCCCCTGCAATTCTCTTAACGAATAAACAAAATTTCAACGCTCTCTTCACAAGTAATTAGATTGTGTAGTGTCCTTCGTGAAATATAATCAAACGAAGTAAGCTCGATTTTCAAGCTCCCTTCGCGACACTCGACGTTAATAGAATTCGTCGATTATACGTCGGAGGGCACTTAAATGTAAGTGGTAAAGCAAATTACTTGGTGGTGCCATCAGCATCCGTCTTCGTGAAACATCGCTCGAATATTATTATGTTAATCATTTTTACGAGCCTTTCATACACGTAAACATTGTTGAATATAATTGTCCTCGGCAGGATCTCGCTCGCAAAGGTGTCGATAAAACTAAATCCTTATACCTACCTATATTCTAGCGATACGTCAAACTTTTGATTCGATCAAGTTAAATTGGCATCCGCCGCGTAGGCGTGAAATTTATGATAGTTCGTTTCTTTCATTTCCTCGATGTCCAGCAAACTATGGTTCAATTTATCATATCTACATGTGAAAGTGCTCGTTCCTTACGAAACCATGACACGTTGAGCGTACGTGCAACGATAAGTCTACCTTTAGTGTTGTATCGAAATTGTTAGGTTCTTGGTCGAAGCAAAGCTTCGGTAGTAACAGTAGAATTTCATTGCTGGACAATGGTCGATGGTTCGGACGGGTATCACGGAAACAGTTGGGCAAAGTGCAACGGCTACGAATGCCAAGCAATGGTCGCGTGCGTGTAGTTTTCTGAGTGGTCACGCGGATGACAATAATCATTCGCTATAAATTTTATCGTATCGCTGAAAATAAAACCTCTGCGATACCCTTTGTCGTAGCAATTTTGTTATGGTCTCGCTATCGTCACGGACGTGCGGGGAAATTCGATCGCGTATCTGCTCGCGAAACATGCGAGAAGCAATAGGTGATCGTCGCTCGTTTACTGCACTGTACAACGGTTACTCATTTTATAACACTTGTTCGCCTTGTTTCCTTCCCTTTGCCGTTGTGTTTTCTGTGTTTTTGTTTAAAGATCGTTCGCGTACTCGTCAATTATCGGTGGTATTGATATTTTCCGGGTGATCTGTCAGCGGTGCTTTTTCGACGTGTTCAATTCGAGGAAACTGGCGCGGCAAATGGGCTCGTGTCTGCCGCGGTATCTTTATTCGACAAAAAATAGTCAGGAAAAGACAAATAGCCACGAAGTCGGGGAGATTGCGCGGCGTAGTGTGGCGAATCAGGGGTTTGGACCGGGAAGAGGAGAGAGAAGAGAACGACGCATGGAGAAAACGACGAGAAGAGGAAGCGACGCCAATGTTCGCCACGAACAATCGTATTACTCGGTTAACACGTTTGCATCCACGGGTGAATTTATCGGGGATGCGCGACAAATTTCGCATGCCGTCGCGAAACGGACGCGAGACAGAGACGAAGATAACGCGAGAAAGAGGCCGGAGAAAGAAGCAACAAATACCAACACCCGGAATAAAACGGAGAGGAATTTGACGGAAAAAATATCAATCCTAGATCCCCCGATAATGTCCAATGCACGCATTAGAAATCTTTGAATATTCTTATTGTTCCTTGAGATTTTCGAACGCAATGAAAAACAGATATGGACAGAAGCAAACGACAGAACGGAGAAAAAGCGTGACGGAAAAAAGGAATGTGCAGGTGCAGCGAACCGGAATAGAAAATTGATGTGCGGAAACAGGTACGCGTACGCGATTGTGATTCAACGAGACAGAAACCAGACAGAAAGAAACGATCGAAAAAAAAATACAGGTATTGAGGCATTGGTAACGGAGGGATGCAGAGTGACGAAGTCTGTCGCAATATCCTGTAACGAAAGCCAATAAATAAAGGACAGCTTTGCCGTGGAATTAAAACACATACATCACGATGGTGGCTGGTAGGCGTCTCCGCGCTTCCGGTTCTCGTCAGCTCTCGCTCCCTCTGGTTCGGTCGACGATGGTTTCTCTGTTTCCGCGAGCGACGGTGGGTGTAGTTCTGGGTTGCGGTCGAACTTCGAACCTCGAATTAATCTTGATCGGGCACTGATTGCGAAATAATTTTGCGATCGGACCGACGAATGACGCAAGATGCGAAACGCAGTTCGGTAATACATACGTAGATGTACACATATGTATCTTTAAACGCTCGATACTTCCCCATGGAATCTTGCTACAGGTAAATCTCTTGATTTACGGTCGCAATTCGTTCTACCGGAATCGATCGTTTTCGCGTTTAACGCTACATTCTGTTCAGGCTATCGCCTCACCGGTAAACACTATGTTTCGATAATGAATTCGCTCGCCTCTGTTAGCCTTTCGGTAGTTGCTCGAGCAGGCGTGCAAGCGAAAGCAATTCTTTCGTGAAATTCACCTTCGAGAACGCTAACATTGACGTTTCGCGCTTCTATGTACGTCCGAATGTGAAGTTTAACGATTGCCTCGCGAAACGCATCGAACGAGACGTCTAGAATTTATTCATGAAATGAAAGATACGCTATCGAATCTTTTTGAATATTTCACGTTCCAATTGGACACTTACTCGTGATTTAGCTTGCCAGAAAAGCATAACCCAATGGCAGGTGTGAATGATTTGTGTTCCAATTAACGTACTCCTTACTGTTAATAGTGAACGGTAGTTTTATCGTAATGCAAGAATGTAATCCGATTTGTTAATTGCAACATAGGTATATTGCGAGTCGGATGAATATGAAAAACAAATTCAGATGTAGTCTGGTTTATATTCGTAGAAATTCGTGCGGGCATATGCTACTTAAGTAATACCTGCACTTACAATTAGATCAGATATGAATTAGGTTTACCTAATATTCACGCAAGCATCCTATGTGTTACCTATGTCTAAGTGACGTATGGGTTAGGTCTATCTAGGTTTACCTAAGTGTTCTATGTATTCTAGACGTTCTACGTATTCCCTGATCTTTCGACCCGTTCAACGGTCGATAGTGCAAAGGTTATTCCGTGCTCAGCGATGAGGCGATTAATCGTTGTCTTAGACGAATAAATGATAACAATATCATAACAATAATATAACAAGGAATTTTCAGGCGAACGAACTGGACTCGAATCATTGTTCAAAGCGATTTGACTTTGGAGCCTTAAGGACTGTATACCCCGAATTCTACTTCGTCAGAAAACGCCATTAGTACCCACCAGTCTGCAAAATTCCTCGCACCCTTCGCGTAAAGTACGAGAAAACAGAGGATCCAGCTATTTCTTCGCGTTCTTTTCAAGGCTTATTCAGGATAAAAGGAGGTCGGGACTCCGTTTCGCATCCACCCATTCCGTGCTCATGGTTTCCGACCGGTCGCAGGTCATCCCTTGCTCCTGTTCCTCGCTTGTTTCCGAAGAAAAGAATCTTTCCGTCCCAGATTCTTACCGAAATCACTAAGGCAAGCGACTACCATGTCGGGCATTTCTTGCCGCATTATGACGACATTGTTCCGTGCCATTTCGTTCAGTCGCTCTTTCCAGAACGTAGAGATTCGTATTTTCAACACTGCTAAAGCAAAGCAACAATGCATACGCGTACATGATGAATTTGGAAACGGAAAGATTTTTGGTAACTTATAGGTAATAAGCTCGCGTAGTTTAGTAGGATTCGTAGCTAGAATCTGGATCCCTTCCTCGATTCAGTCAACGCTAAAAGACCATTCTATTGCTATAAAGTCACGATTCAGCAGGGGAAAAATGTGTGTGCCGCGTTATAGAGTCGGAAGAGTTTGGTAAGGAGAAGGCACAGGAGAGACAGGAAACGAGTGGAGTTGCCAATCGCGTCCGGTATTCCACGGATGGTAGTCGGGACGGAGGGTTTCATAGGGGAGACGTTTCCGCAGCCATCAAAGGCACGACGGGGTGAGGCGTGCAGTTGCCAGCCTGGGAAGGTGGAGGAGATGTAAATGGTGCGCTTCATTAACGTGAGTTACCGTCGCATCCATTATTCGCGGTAACCGAGCTGACAAGCACGATTCCAGCTTGTCCAGGGTATTACCGCGAAGCGCTCCTTCCTGGACAGCCAAATTGGAACGGGGCGGCCTGATGCCGTCGTCCTGGAAAACGTTTCTCGCGACAGCCCCGCGTAATCACGATCCCGTTTAATAGGAGCGTTCCTTGCCTTTTCTTTGCGTTCCGTTCCTTTCCTGTCCCTTCTACCGCGAACGACCGACTTCCGGGCTAACCGAGCTTTTCGCGATTAAGACTTTCGTCGGTCCTGTCGACCCGCGTACCCGCACCTTCGCCCGGATGAACGTGTTATTTTGCCCCGGAAAGTAACACGACGCCTGCTTTCAGGGAACGTGACTTTTGCAACGAAGCGACGAGTTTCCGCGTCTTCGTCCGACTGAAGCTGGTAGTTGTCTCGTTTGTGCGGAGAAAGATACTCATTTACAGCAACATCGTACTATAATCGGATCAACGCGAAGCGTTCCTCCGAATAACACGGAAATTTCAAGCGATTTCGTACGCGAGTAATTACAAGTTTGGGATTCCGAAGATGTACGTCGCGTTTTATGTCTGCAAACGAACAAGAACATTCGTAAGGATGAAACTTCTTTACGCAGTATGGTTTCGCGGAAGACTCTAGATTCCAGGTCTAGGTATGCAGATTGATTCACCGCACCGCGTCGATTCGTTGTACAGGGTCGAATCACCGAAAAGTCGACGGGTCGAGAAAGTGGAGTCGATACACCGATCGGTACCCAGCAAACAAAGGAATCGTTCGTCATATTGGAATTACGAAATTGTTAAGCGTGGTATTCCATAGATATTAATTGGAGTTGGAATTAATTCTCGTACCCCACCCACCCCATTACGAATCACCTGAAAACCTGATTAGTATTCCCCAGAGCTACGCCAACACGCTGACGGTGAATTTCTGCGAATAGTTGGAAATCGTAGTAGATATAGGAAACTTGGTCGTCGTTTACGAACCCGGCAGTGCAACGGAGATTCCACTCACCAACTTCCATTTGTTATGCGTCGAGTAAATGAAACGAACGTTTCATCGAGCCTTATTCTATACATACACAGTTTCGGCATGGAGGAACCACGCTTGTCATCGTTCGTGTTGGTCTCCAAATGCCGTGTGTTTGAACCATCGATGAACCGAGCTGTACAGACACCCGACAAACGTCTTTTGATTCTCGAACCTTGAATTCGTCCCTTGTTGAAGTTTTTTACGAAACTGGTTACGATATCAAGGCCGTGATATACATGTACGTATATGCAGCGTAACATGCTGTAGCGATAATTTCGTTACAATCACGAGGCAAATGTTATGCTAAATTGGAAATTGACAGCACCCTTCAACAGTTAGGATACGATGATTGAATCCTTAGGGAGCAGGTTTGCAAGGGGAATTCACTGAAGAGACGATAATGATGCTCGGGGGGTTCGTTGCAAGTTCCACCATTGTAATTATTCAATTAAAATGGAATCCAAGCACCGGTAATCTGCATCTATTTATCCGCTTTCTCTGTCGAGGTCATTTCCCATGATTCCGAGCTATGCTCGAGTAATCGATGTTTCGTTGGACACTGGGAAAAAACGTTTCAGCGAGACGCACGGGTGAATAATTTAAGCGAAGCCACCGTTTTCGCACGATGTCCGCGTAAAAAAGAAAACTCGATTTATCATTGAGATATCGATCGAAGCTAACGATGTAGTTTCGGCTACTTGAAAATTAATACCGTATCGCGTGACGGGTGTGTGGCACACGACGCGGAAAGGTAATTATATCGTTAATCATCTCCGTCATCGGTGTAGCCAACGTATCTCGCTCTTTGCTTTTATATCGTCCAAGCGGTCGGTTCATCGAGCCGATGGTAAAAATTGTTGAAAACGCGTCGTTAATTATCTTTCCGTATCGACGGCTCGACGGTTCGACGTCGATGGGATGCCGCGATTAACATGCAAATCGACTCTCCACCCCCCTCACCGGTGTGGACTATTTGAGGAATCGCTGGTTGATAATTAACGGTGAAAATCTGTCGCGACGACGGGACTACGTCCCGAACAATTTCGTTTTAATATCGGAAATCCGATTGTCGTTTCAACGTTAATTAATGCGACTGCACAAAGGCCCGTGCGCTGGCGTGCGAGTATGTACGAAATACGGGAACTTTCCTTCGTCTACCTCTAATTCCATCGTTTTTCCTATTGAATATACATGCATAATGTACGTACGTAAAATGTTATCCCTGCTTGCTCGCTTGAATCTACCAACGGACGTCGGAGCCAACCAACTACTCCGTGAATTTGTTCGGTTCACTCAGCATTTCTCGGTAATTCGAATCGATAAACGGGCTTGTTTCGTTACTCGATACACGCGTAATTAGTTGGTCCGTATGATGCGCGCGTTTCACAAAGCACACGCGGTAGATCGTGCATACGTCAATTTCCATTACAGTCACGGTACGTGCGCGAGGTCTCGATAGAAATAAACGGAGAAATTCGATTCGCGTATGCGAATTTACACATTTTAAATTGACTCGTGCTTTTTCAATCGATCGAACCCGATGATCTATATTTTTTTACAATTTTCCAGGAAATTACTTTCGAGCGACATTTCTGCCAAAACTGATTCATTGGGGAAATAATAGCGATCCTTGAATGGAACCCTTAAATATGTACTTCCGTGAACAAACGTCGCAGCGTTGGTCCAATGCAGTGTACAGTTTTTATAAGCGTGAAATTTATGCACACACGGGCCTTCTATAGATAAACGTACGAGTAAATCCTGCTACTGTAACGCGAGAGGCGATCAGGAAAGATGAAAATACCTGTCGCTTTAAATCCCACGTTTTAAGTTTTTTTTTAACGGACACGACGTTAGGGATAAAACGTCTACGACACAGCGAGGGAATGGGACGCGGGTATCTCTTACGCCGACCATAAATTTTTTACCGTTGGACAAATCGCGTAAAAGAACTACGGTAAACATTTAGCTTCGTTTCTTTTGCATTTATGCCCCGTTGCATCTTTCTGCTTACAAATCCATTTGAGCACCGTAAAATCTTCTCGAGTATTGTAAAGACGTGTTTACCTAAGAGCGACATAGTGTATCTTGGGTCGTTGTATAGCAACGACATATCATAATTGATTAGAGAGCTATAAAACTCGAAGGTTTGACGGTAACGATTATTTAATTCTTTATACGCGTTAACGAGTTATCTAACAGTAGTAACGTTAACTCGCAAATAAAATGAAAATAACCTACCAGTACGGATATGAAACGCAACAATGAAAAGCGAAGAAATATGTTCATGGTGACATTTATTTTCGAACTAATGCACACGCAAAATTCCATAAACGAGTTGATAAAAAAATAAAGTGACCAGCGAACAAAAGTTAAATGAAGGTGAAATTGAATGAACGTAAAACTAATATACGACCGTGGCTGATAAAGTCACATTGAACATTAGGGATCTCGGTTCACCGATTCCTCTAGAATTACCTATTTCCCCGGAAATCGATGATATCTCTCCGTGCCGTTTAATACGCTTTCACTTAAGAGCCAAATAGATATAGTCGTTTGTGAACGCTTGCGAACTGCGCAGAGGAAATCCGCGATTCGTCCAACACCCGGTAGAGCTGGAAGTCAGAATGGCAGAAGGAGAGGTGGGCAAGCAGACTGGCTTTTCTCTTTAAAGCCCAGAGGCGGTAGTCGTGGAACGAAGGGAGTCGGGAGAATCTCCCCTATCTTTTCGCGTGCCTCCCACGACCGGCTCATTTATCAAGCCGGCTTCCATTAATATCCGACAAAATAGTACAGGGACGCGCGACATCCCATAGAAGTCATGCCTGTCCGTCGAGCGGCTGGGGCTTCTCTTCTGCATCTCTCGCGACCGGTACATCTGGCTGGTCTGCCGCTATGACAGACCCGTGGCCGTGGATCGAGTTCCCGCAACCCTGTCTGCCTGCCTGCCAGCCGTGCCACAACGACTGCCTACGTCCTACGTTTTCGGATGGCATGGCTGACCGACTCGGATCCCTCGAGCGTTTGTTGCGTGACACGATTAGTAATGAACACCCGATTCTCCATCTCCGATCCGAGCTTACGAATAATTTTCTCACACGTCACGATTCTAGAAAATTCCATTCTGACAAATTCGATACACTCGATAACGACGAGCAATTTAAAGGGTGAATATTTTTAAACTAGGTTCCTTTGCGGCCGGGTCGAGAGTGTTGTTAACGGAAAAAAATTATTCAGGATTCTTGACTCGCCTTCCGTTTGAAAACACTTTTCTATCCTTAATGCGTGGATTATATCTGGAAATGAAAGCGCGTACAATACATTGCCGACGGTGACGCACATTTTGTTCGGCTCTGGAACGCTTATGTAATACAGCGTGTAGTACACAAGACGCGAAAGAACGATTTGACGGGGAAGCAGACGCGTGACGGGCCCCTACGCTGCTCAGTAGTGAATTAAATGATTCGTCAGTAGAAACCGTCAGACCAAGTCGGGCAGTATACCGTTTCTTTTTGTATCATGCTGGAAACCATTGACCTGCTGTTATATTATAAGTAGTTTCTGTAACGAATGATCCGTTTCGTCGCTTCCCGGGTTACTTGTTCATGATGGCAACGATGATACGGCAAGCTTTAAAATGATTCCTTATTCCAGCGTATTAAGGTCGTTAAAGCGTGTATTTTCTCGTGGTGCAAATAAAAGGAACCGAGCGACGCTGAAACTCAGCTTGAAAAAAACGATGAAAATCCAAGGGTGCAGGATTGTTCGACGAGTAGTAAGTTTTCCCGATAATGGGACTATCGTCGTTCCTTGTTTTTCACCGGTTGTGCCCGCGGCAACTTCGGCAATATCGACGGCAACGACGACCGGTATTGCTATGTACGTCGATGATAAAAAACAAAAGAACGATTACAGGTGCAGCGACAACAATATCTGAGAAATGCTAATTAATAACGATGAGGTCTACAGCTTCGTTGCACGAAGGCTTCTTCGATACGAACTGGCCTATGAAACTATCTAAGATTGTCGATGAATGTAACAAAAAGAAAAGGAGCACATATTCGGAAACAGAAATGTCGGAAAGATAAAATATTTTCATCGAACCAGTTGATTTGACAAAGTTAAACGCGAAAGATTCGATAAACGTCGGTGCTTGAACAAATTAGCCACTTGGAACGGTCGCTGAATCATACATCGGGATACAATGGTATGGCATGGTATCGGTCGATGCTTCTGCGTGGCCATTCGTCAAAGTTACGAGGACGCCGAACGCTTTCTCGATCACGAACCTCGCCACGAGACTCGCGCTCGCGTAAATAATGTCCGCCATGCGCTCGCCGCTTTCACATTTCACAATTGACTTTCAAATTAAAGGACGTCTCGCGACACTCGTCGATATTCGAAAGCAATTAAAGTTCTCCTCCACCTTTCGAGCTTTTTACTCGGCCGCTTTTTGCGTCTGGCTTTCTTCTCCGTGGCTTTCTCCATTACTTATCGGCGTGCTTTGCGAGAGGTTCTCTTTAAAGCGGCCTTTACCCTCCGACTAATTCAGTCTATTGTGAGAAGGCACTACCGAGGACTTCATTCGTTTATACAAAGGACGAAAGCGTAACAGTCCTTTTCCTTCGTCTACATTTTTATTGGAGCATCCTTAATCTAATACGCGACGATATCTCTTGCCGTGTGCTTCCGTAACTTTCAGACGAACTCTTCTTCCCTCCTTAAGAACTATGGACGGTGGTTCCGCGTAACTGGATTACCCTCGACCACCTCTACATTACTCATTGGACGGAATTATTAAAGTTACCAAGCATAATCGTCTTATACGTAGTAAATTTGCCACGTCGCTTACCAATAAATCATTAAAATGGAACTCATAAAATCAAACAGTACTGCATCTCGGGGACCTTAATTGCTCGTCGAATTAATTAAAGAAATTCCTTTTGTCGTATAATCTTAAAACGACAGACATGCCCTTGAGAACGATATTCTGTCGAGACGCGGGCAGAGGAAGGAAAGACAGGACCAGTGCCGAGTTTAAGCTCGAGATCGTTGATGCTTCGGAGAGGAGGATATCCGAAAGAGCCCCACCTCCGTACACTGTTTATATGGAGCAATCCCGCCTACAATCTAATCGAAATGAGAACGTTGGTCTTTTCCCATCCAAAACCCCCGGTTCCCCCCCCCCTCCCCTCCCCAACCCCTTCTCACTCCGTCACTATTCTCAAGCTCGCTAACCGTGATCTCGAATCGCAAATTCAGATATTTAAAAAGTTTCGAAATACCATCGAGAAAAATAAGGTCGTGTTTACTACCGGGAGAAGTTCTCCGAATTTTCATCGACCGATTTGAAAGTCAATGTCTGTTATACCGCTACGGGGATCCTTTAAAACGGATTAGAGTTGAAGCGTGTTTGGAAATTTCCGCTCAGAGTCGTCCCGACGACGCGCGAGCCACAGATCCTGACTCAAGATACCGGGCTGATCTATGTAATTTTCTTCGGAAACGTGTCGTCAGTCGTCAGACGATCGATAAGGCTATTCGGACGTCTATATTTGCGAGGAGCACCCGTTTCCTCGTCACCGAACTTTACTTACATGCTACGTTTCCCAATTTCCAACGATTTCACCACGCAGCATGGTAATGTAAAGTGTTATTCATTTTTATCGGAGATTGAACATTTCTTAATATTTTCACGAAATTCGGTCAATAGACTGTTAAAGTATCGACTTGTTAACTGTGCATTATAAATCCTATCCTCTACTAGAGACTACGATGAGAAAAACTGTTGTAACCCATTCCTGTGGACGAGCATGTAACCGTTGGTGGCATCAAACGAATCTTTTTTCATTCACGACAGTTTATCGCGTCCCGACTGGGAGGATACAAAAAGTACAAAAGCTCTCGATAATTCGTGGCGCTTCTGCTCGGATTTACACGCGCGATATCTCCCAAATGAATTTCATCATTTTTGCCAAAGGTTGTATGGCACGCTTTAGTTGCTCTCTGTAGCCGCGTATCAACCGAACCCCCGGTTAGAAATGCCTCCACCGGTGCGCAGCTTTCTTCGTGATCGTTACAGTTGATGTATTTTGATATTTCGCAAACGACAAAAACGTAATTCGCATAAAAATCACGAAACGTGCACGACGATTCTGTATTTGCCGTTTCGTCCGTTCCCTTGCATGCCAACCTCTTTGCCGTTTGCCATTTTCATTTTTCTTTTATTCCAGTCCTCTGTTCAAAATCCTTGAGGGAAGCACACTCACCTGACCAGGGTCAGCTTAAATGGAACGCTTTTTGAATGGAGTTCTGTTCTTCCAACAACGAGAACTTCTGGAAAAATTCTTAGTTTATACGACTCGTGCGAGCTTACATTTAACGAAAATGGTGCACTCTCCATTATGGTTCATCGTTTGCGCGGGATGAAGTGAATCAAAGGTGCACGGAAGCTTCCAATCGTCAAATGGATTTCGCTATTGCGACGATCGGTTGTATATCCTCTCCTTCCGTTTTTATGTCCGTTAAACACTCGAAAAGAACCATGTCATCATCCGTACTTCACTTTACTTCTAGAATCTAGATTATTCTCTACAGTGACTGACTTTTTTTTTAGTTTCCCTTAGCCAACATTTCGGAACATCTAAGTAAACTATTCACAGTAGATAAAATGAGTGAATTTTTTTGTTGCTGAAATCCGTATCGGAGACGCAGATAGTTTTATGCGACGATAAACCGTTCCTCTCGTTTTAGTTTATTGTCCCATGACACGAGCGGATGCGACGGTATCGAATTTTCGGTGTGGTTTTGCACCGCCCCATTAGATTGGTTTCGACGTTACCGAGATAGCGTTTCCTTTCGCATCAATTGCCCGCTGTATTTCAATCTTATCTCGAATTGCCAATTAAAGGGTAATTCGGCTACTGGTAACGCTTTAAAGTGGCACATTTCGAGTAACCCTTTCTACACAAACGGTATTATGCATCCAACGTTTTCAATTGCAACTTTAACATTTCCACGTATTCGCGTTACAAAATTTCTTCGAAACGAAATTACAATAGAGTCGTGCCGTTACGTTTGAAATCGTATCAATCGTCGATGAGTCGACTGCGTCGTTTTTCGGTTTTAGAGATGACACGACAGCAAAGAAGATAAAAGATAAATTTTAGAGCGAGTAACGTCCAATCCGAACCTGAAACTAGGTCAACATTTGCTCGCCAATCTGAGAAAAGAACGAAATACGTCCACAAGAGTCGATCGCCTCTGCGATGTCGAACGAGACTCGACCAGATGGGCTCCGCTTGTCGATCCCGAAACTTCGATATTTTCGATTTTCGATCCGTTTTAGAAACTGAGAACCGATATTGTCGCTCGTTTTCATGAAGATTATGCTGGTTTCCGTTTCTCGATCGCGTGGAAACTTCGTTACAGTTTCGAACCGATAATCATTATTGTTTATTTCGATTTTTTTTATAATGTTTACTTACCGCGATACATCTCGATGCAACGAACAGTACAGAATCAAGGTAGCATAGAAATCGCGAATCATGAAACGTTACGTAATATTGTACATGACTTTTCACCTATATTCCATACGAATGCTATGTTCAGAGGAGAATGTAGAGCTGCCAATTACAAGCGCGACAACAGATATTATCGATGAGAAAACGGAGAAGAGCGAGGAGGAAGATATCCTCGAAGCCGTGCCAATGGTGGAAGAGGTTATGGATCCCAACGTAAAAATAACCAACGTGCCAGATGTGGAGGAAAGCACCGATGATTGGGACGCGAATTGGGACAAGAACAAGGTTATCCGAGACGTCGCGTATTACATACGAGCGCACAAATTCGAGGACTTTGATCGACGTTACTACAGAAGGCTCGAGGATTCACCTAGTAGATTTTACCAGGAATTTCCAAAACCGCCTTTGAGATCTTTGCATTGGGAAGTGCGCAGGTACCTATCGGTATCTCCTCGTGGTTCAGTGAAATGCTTTGACAGACTACTTACCGCTCAATTATTCGATAACTGCAATCTATAGTGTCCTCATTGCTAATTTTCCGGCATAGTTATCAAGTTTCATTATTGTTTCGATAATAGGGGAAACGTTATTATCATGACAAAGCGGAACCTGTTAACTAGACACCTGCCCCGGTTGCTCTTTCATTAATTTGTTTATTACAAATTCTACGTACATAATATTACTCTGCTTATAATAATTAGTAAAGTAAATATCCCGCTTTGTGTTTGAAAATCTGAACTTTTACTTTTTGTCGAGGTTCTTTCCAACTGAAGATTAATTTTCCTACATACACTTTCAGCTCCGATAAAGATACATTCCATTTAGAAGTGCAAATAAATCTTCTTTATAGTCTGATCAATCGGCAATATTCTTAACGATTGAAATGATTCCGAAATAGAATGACCTTATACGTCGAACTATCTTCATTTAAGATTACATTTAAACCTCGTTTCGACAAACACTGAGCCATTCTAATAGCCAGTTGTGTTTATAAGTAAGATCGGTAGTCCTTTTCACGAATTATTACCAAATAATTCGACTAACCTGCCAACAGTGTTGTTTAGAAGGTGTTTGTAGTGGTACATTCGCGACGTGATCGAGCGTTTGCATCGAAACGATATCCGCTACACACTGTAACTGCGATTACCTAAATGGAATGGTAATTAGAAAGTTAGCAGGCCGCGAAAGGGATTCTAAAGCACGAACTGAGAAAGAAATATCGGAAATATTCTACTGCCGATGCATGCGTTATTGTACACAGGCATTGCGATGCAAGCTTCGTCGAGTGTCTGAGATATCTTGAAAGGAACATTAAGCTTACAGCCCTCAGGCGGGAAGATGACACCATCACGATCATGAAAGAACAGAATTGGAATCTCGAGCACAATATCCAACAAGTCCTGTCCGCTCAAAAGGATTGTCAGGATGCTCGTAGACGCGACGATCTGACAGCGGTTCCCTTTCAAGGTCCAATAGGCAAGTGCCCGTATCTCCCACGGGATTCACCTAATCAAGAAAGAAGGTTAATGACCGATATCCCGAGGATATTCTCCTTTGTAGACAATCTCTTTCCTTTCGACGCTCAATACCTTTCTATTCTTTTACCCATTGAATTCCGACTTATGTGTGTTTAGAACGATTCCAGTGGCGCACTACCGTGAGCTATTACATGTGCTGGTACACGATGCTCGGTGTGCCAGAATTGAGTATCTTTGGTGAGCCCTGCGATAATCATGCCAACTGCGACATCAACGGTGGAAACGGAGATCCCCGTGCCGATGACACGAAACCGTATGCTTGCGCGCTTTATAGTTTCTGCCCCGATCATTGTTGTCCCATGAAGCAAATCGGATATATGACGGATTGTTATCACTCACCGCAGAATCCTTGCTACGCTGAGAACATGCCATGTGCGTAGAAATCACCTCATACCCTTGTCCTAAGAGGATTGATTCTGTTCCCGAACCAAATACCTCGGCTAATTTCACTCTGGAATATTGCGTTTCATCGGCCGTGAAACGCATTATCTCGGCGTGTAATATCTTCGTCGGAATACTTATCAATTAAGCACTCCGCGTAGCGGTTCACTGAACGAACCAGATAATGTTCGGTGTACCTTCACGCAACGTCGTCACCTTGACCTGTTATTTTTTACGCCACGTTCGTAACTAATAATAAGTAGCAAAAAATACGACACAACAAAATGTGTTTGCGCGATAATTAAACAAACCGCTTTGTTTACTCTGCGCGTAAGACCTTTTCTGCGAGGAAGCGTAATTAATTATATATACCATTCAATTGTTACCGTGTACGCAATCCGGGGATCAAGGTTATATGTATAATACCGTCATGAGATAACAATTATTATCGACCTTTATTCTTTTATAGCGCACAGAGAGTGCAAGTTAAATCGGCAAGAGAATCAGGATCTGCTCAGCTTAGTGGCTAATCAGATAAACATCAGTTGCCAGTGTCTCGAAAAAGGTTACGAATGGTCCGCCAGATTTGGGATCTGCGTCGACGTAAACGAATGCACTCGCGGTCGCCACGACTGTTTGTCGGAGAATGGCGAGTTGTGCGTCAACATGCCAGGTGGTTACGAGTGCGTTTGCAAATTCGGTTACGTTTACGATTCGAGTCAAAAAACGTGTATCGTTAGCTCCGCCATAGAAGAGGTATTAGCGGGGGCCGAGAGCGAATCGAACGTCACGAAAACGAGAAATATCATCGAGGCGATCATTAACACAATCACGAGGTCGACTGGCAATCGTCTCGCGATTAATTGCACGATTCTTCTTGCCGTCTTTGTAAGTTTAATTGTTGCAAATAATATCGAGTTCATGACTTCCTAAAACGTTAGTTTATTATGAAATGTTTCACTTAATTGATGTTCAATGTCAGGTTTATCAAAGTATATATGTACAGATGTAGAAGTTGATTCGAGATCAAATAAAAAGTAAGTATCAACAAGTCCCAGAAATTTTAATTGACTAAATTCACGACAGGATGTACAGACGTGTACGGGCAACGTGAGTCCGATAAACCGTACCGGTTACGTGAACGGTATTATTGCCGTTTAGAAAGCGGCGCATACTTAAAACGAGGCTGCAAGTTGAAATTTGTATCTGTAACAATTCAAATTTTAATCTTGTGTGTAATAGCGCGATTCCATGTGTTTCCTACTCTATCGCGAATGGCCCATCTCGACGGTTATTTGCCTTGCCTAGAGAATAACTATGTTCTCCTACGGCTTTCGGTATTTAGCATAATAGACGTGGATAAGGATAATAAGAGGCGAGCAAAAACACTTAGCGCGTTCTCTCGCGAAAATTCTCATTAACCGATTCCTACTATTATCAGCAACGACGAATTTAATTCATTTTTGCAAATGAAAAGTGTCCTTTTTGATGGATTACCACTAATCGCTTGGTGAAAACATCTATCAACGGTGTCAGTTATGTTGCGTTTAAAGTTTTCAAAAGGAAGTCCATCTACTGGACAGAAATGTGTACCGAAAATTGTCGTGTAATGAACTCATTTAGCATACTGGAGAACACTTTAAGGAATTAGGTTCGTGATGCGTAGGCGGCTCTAAAAACGTCGTTCCTGTTGTACACTATTAGCTTTTTTTCAGCCTTTGAGCGCTCTCGTCGAGAGAAGTTTGAAAGGGACATTTTCACGTAACACCGTCCTCGATGGAAAATTCTGATTAAACCGATGCGAACAACCCATCTGTCTCTGAGGAATTCAAAGCCATTTGCCACCAGTTTAATTTGATGTTATGCCCCTTGTATTTTAACTTTAAATGGTTGGTATATTGCTGAAGTTTCACAAAAATCATCCTCTGAAATTTAACAATTCCCTTCTCAAATTTAACGTATCACCTCTTGCACTTTATTTATAGAACTGGAAACCTTATTACTTTACTGAAGCATCGACAAATTAAGGGCACCGAATCACTCGCTCGCGAATGAAAAGTTATCCATAGGTTGTGAATTAACGTATCCAAAGATGTCTTACGGGATTAAAGGTAGTGAATTTATATGCTTACTCGGTTTCTAAGTATGGGAAAATTATAGTGTCTTCCGACCATGAAGAACAGTGTTTCAATGTCCAGCTGATTACGTGTTTCCGTTCTTTTCATGTTTCTTTTTTTTTGGTCTGAAGCGTTTTATTACAGTGGACAGGAAGCCCGGTTTCGCCTGGTTGTGAACACGCGAACACTTCGCAGAAGCAACGATCACACTTTCGATTCGACCTGGAAAAAGTTGCGTAATCGAACGTACCGAACATACTCTGACGGAATTATAACTTTGCAGGATTAACACGCGACACCGTCGAGGGGCTAATAAATTGTAAAAGTTTCCTTCCGAAACTCTCTACTTTGATGTAAGATTCTAATTTTGAGTGCAACCCGGTTCATTTTCACGCTGCGGTGCGTGCTACCACATCATTGCGTTTACCGTCTCGTTAATTCTCTACATACCTATATTCATGTTCGTTCACTGTTACTGTTTTCACTTTTTTTTCGTTTTATACCTCCAATTATCTACTATGTAATTGCGACATTTTTACAGGTACAGTCAAAGACCTATAGCAGTTATGTATGGCGTGTTCAAGGTATTTATCGTTCTTTCCAAATGTATAATTGGTAAACAAGAAAAATGTGCGGCCCTCGTTTAGAAGACGAATACAGAAATAAATTACACTTACAAATGTTTCGCCCGGGAACGTTCCGGAATCGGGTATTTCGATCTTGTAGCGCGCTAACGACATGTTATTTCGTTCAGTTGCGATATATTCTCTGTTACGTTTGCGCGATAATTTTGCGACGTATCGAAATGGTTATTAATTTACGATAATTAACTTGCTTTGCCGTTCCATCGACCAGCGGGGCAATCATTTTGGAATGAATCTCGAAACCAACGGAGAAAATCAGGAAAAATTTATCGCGATGATTTCTCGTTACTTCCGTATCGCGGAGTGTGCGTAGCTATACTCGAGACCGTTACGTAATTTGCGAATTTCACGAGCGCGAATTTTACGCAACCAAGAGTCGAGGTTAAAATACTCCGTTACGTCAGTTAATTACCGTCGACCATTGAACTTCAGGTAAACAAAAAAAAAATAGCATAGTACACTGTTTTGGTTTTTCTATGTAGGCACGGTTTAAATTATCGAGCATTTCGCATCCGAGTTCGGTCACTTATTTAAACCGAAGGTTTTCTAATCTCGTTCGGTTCGCACTCGACAAGCAGCGTTCTATTAAGTAGCAATCGATATCGACTCGGGTGCGCCATCAGAATTGCAAATTCTGAAATCGCTTACGGTAATTGCGACAGCGATCCTGGAACGAGTCGCCCGTCCGGTAACGAATATCGTCCTATTCGTAATTGGTGACGCGTGCAATTTCGATTTATTTTATGACAGTATCATTTACAAAAGCACAACGCAAATTCGCGCGGTAAATTAGTGTATGAAAAACCATTAATCGCAAGAGGGTTGATAATTTCTACTGCTTGATCCTTCGTTTCCTTTGCTTCCCTGTTAAATTTCAAATAGTACAACAAGAAACGTGTACAGTTATGCATAAATTGGTAATCGCGGTGAGGTAAGAAATAACGAAAGTAAGCTAAAATTCTTCGATAACGAAAAAAACGTTAAAATGAGTAGTACAATGAAACGAACTCGTGACGGACAGTATACATTTTGTATCGATAGGAAGACAGATATCGACGTTCTTTGATAACGAACGTCCATCAGTGGTTCGACGCGTCTTTCAGCCTCGGCAGTTGCGTGGTTTCTTCCAAATTGGCCCGATTCTCCATTCGCAAACATACAACTGGGCAAGCCCTGAGCCATCGCGAACAACCTGCTACGCGGTGAAACACGCACGCTCAAAAAATGCACATATTCATGGATGGAAATAAAGCCAGAGGGAGAAAAGGGATGGTGGACAGGAACGTTACAGAGAAATCGCGCGTCGACCAGGCGGATAGGTGAAAAAAAAATCAGTGACTGCCGATGCTTCAGGGGCGGTGTTACGTTTCGAATTATTCAGAGTCACGATGTCGATTCGTCGAGTACATCAACGTAGTTTGGCTATTTTATGCGCTCGCCGCATATTCCGTTGTATAAATGCAAATTAACGATTGCTTCATTTCCCCGAGCTTATTTGGAAAAGCATGACATTAACAAATTCCGCATAACATTATTTAATTTGACAGACCACCGTTCTCATTACTGACACGAATTTACCAATCACCGTTTCCTCTCACGGTGTGGGTAAATTTTCGAAATCGAGTCGCAGATCGTAGCACAAAGCCATTCGTTGTGAGTCTACAGGTTCGTGCAATTCGAAGTAAGATCTGCATCGATTCTCTCTTCGTTTATGACAAACGCTTGATTTGGAATATGTTGCGAATACATGGTTCTATTATGGCAACGAGAAATCGTTTACTGAAGAGAAAGTCGGTATTATGGCTGTATTATCGGTACCAACCTAAGTAGTACTCTATCCAACAGCTTCCTCCGCCGACATGTTCCAATAAACGAAGTTCCACGAAGCGTCTTGCCACGTGCAGCAATTTCTATGAAACGAAAACGCGAACACCCTCCATTTAAGACGATAATGTTATCCTTTGAAGCTCGCTATCGGTTACATGTTAAAGACGTTTTCGAGTCCATAAACGCGAAACGTTTAAACGCCTTCGTTCGTTGTAGCAAGCGCGGAGGGCTCGATTCCATGGAAATTCCGTGTTGTTAGCATTCTTGGTAAGCAAACCAGTAGTCACATCTACATGAAGATGTGCGGAACATTTGTGGGACGACCAATGTACGACCAAGGACCGTGTCCGTTGTTCGTCCGTCGTTGTTTAGTCGGCTGAGGAAAATGGTGGTAACGCACACCGCTTCGAAGTTGTCTCCGAAACCTTACTCCAGTAGCACCTGAAAGCATTGCCGGCAGTTCTTTTTTGATAGTTTATGGACAGCCATTGAAGTGGCGAATTAGCAGGTAGGTCACTGGAAGTAAGATTTTAGTTGGAATAATTACTTTAATGCAATCCGATTGAAAGCGTTCCGGCAAACTTGAAATTTCCATTCGCGGATGCCCAAAAAGGGCGTCGGTAGGTATTTCCAATTTGTTAGCCAGAAACTTTCGTAGGAACGTCGCACCACGAAGGGACGAAACTTCCGATCGAATCTCTGTAATCAGGATCTTCTTTGGAGGAGGAAACGATGTAGAAAAGAAGAGGTTTGTTCGTGCGTCAGCGGAACGCTGGTTTCGCAGAATCAATTTCCTCGATTCTGCAAGATACCTGTTACGCGCGACTTGCATCTTTTCGATCGGCTTTCTAGAGACACAACGCAGCGTTAGAATGCTACCGGTGAGTGGGCTGCAAGGTGCTGCTTTCTTTTCTCGTAGGTCAGTCAATGAGTATGACTCTGCGCGAGTGGTACGCGAACCGCGAGGTGTTCCTAACCGGAGTGACCAGCAATGTGGGAAGAACGCTCATCGAGAAGATCCTTTATTCCTTCCCCGAGGCGAAGGTGTACGTTATGCTGAGATCCCGGAGCGGATTCAATAAAGAAGACAGGATCAAGCAGATTTTCCTGTCGCCTGGGTATGAACATCGTTTCTTTTCTGCTATCACCTCCATCGCAGTGGATCGTTTCTCATAAGTGTTTTCAAAGCGTGGAAAAATGGTACATCGTTGTGTGGCTTTAGAAGTGATATTTCGAAGGTATACGCGAGTACATATATATAGACAAATCTTTAATCGTTTCGCTTCGGCAGCCGCGTGTAAATGATTACGAAGCGATAGTAAGGTAGGTACGTGGAAAACTTTCGTGTTTATTTGGTCAATTAACGCGAACGCTCGTGTTTGTCATTCTGAACCGCAAACGGAAGGTAAACATAATACTAGCATACATGTTATACATACGCGTTACTGGTTTTATTCATCGTCGAGTCATGAACTGAAAATCGGAAAATGTTCGTAATTTCGTTTTTGTAATATATTTATGCGTAACGCGAAAATCAAAACAATGGTAGAAATGAGCATCGATCAGGACAGCGAACGACGCGATAAAGTTTCTGTAGAATCGTTGGTATTATTTTCCTGATCGTGAGTTCATTTGCATTTCCCTCCTTGTTCATTCGATCCTCGGTTGCGCGGCATATCGTATCATTGTAATCAGTCGTCCGTTGCATAGTACGATGCATATTCGTTAGATATTACATCTGACTTTAATCAGTCATTCGTTAGACGATGCGACGTTCCATTCTAATCAAGGGTTCATTAGACGCGGTGGCGTGCACGCAGATTAGCTTTTCATTAGGAATTCAGTGGTTGCCGCGGGATACGTGTCAATTTATTTAGTCCTTTCAAACATGCAATCAAAAACGAATAAAATTAGCCGTTCCCCGGGGATCCGAATGAAATGTACTGGAACGGAGATAGAAATGATTCGGAATTGTCGTATTAAATGTCGGGAACGTTGCTGCCCAGTCTCGCGATGTTTTACGCGGTCAAGTGATCTGGAAATAAAGTGAGAAGCAAAAAACTTGCTGGATATTAATTACGTTTTCCAGGAGCCACGTAAATATCCCTCGAGATATATTTCCGTGCACGATACTTGGCCAAATAATTACTAGTTTACCTCGCGTTCGGGCTTGATAATACGTATTTGCTATTTTGAATGAACTACCCGATAAGATCACTGGGTTGCGTATTTACACCAGCTTCCAAGTATGTACGTCGCTTAAATCTATCGCAAACTATTATGCAGGTTCAGTTGAGCAAACTATAAAAATAGAAAGCACCTGGCAATTTATATAGGATTCATAAATTTCACATTCGAGTTAAAACTGGCCGACGTCCAATTCGAAAAGCCACGATTCTTTTGTTCCTTTGCTACAGTTTCGAGAGGCTAAGGCAGATAGACCCAAACGCGATTTCTCGCGTGAAAGTGTTGGAGGGCAATCTGCTGTACGATGGGCTAGGATTGAGCAAGGAGGACAAGAATCTCTTGCAGAATGTCAGCGTGGCGTTTCACGCGGCTGGTCCACACGACGGGATGTTCGAGTTCTGCCAGGAGCTCCCGCGGCTCGAGGTAATGGTCGCCATCTCGTGTATTTTTCGTCACAAGGGACGAATCACCGAATCGCTGCAAAACGAACGGGTACCGAACGGATCGGTGGCGTTGGTGCGGGTTCCTCTCGTCGGGCCGTCCCTTCGCGAACCCATGCCAGGCTTCGTCGACGTGCTCAAAGGACCGACGGCTTTCATGGTAGGAGCAGGCCTCGCCCTGGGCAACTCTGAGTTTCAAGCGGAAATCATTCCAATCGACCTGACGGTCAACACCCTCATTGCCGTTGCTTGGGAACGAGCCACCGCGTAAGTGCTCTATTTATACCACTGTCTTTCTCTCTTCTATACCCTGTCGGGACGGGCTCGACCACGTTTCTCTCTTGCTCGTTCTTCCACCATTTACGCGATCAAACTTGGCCAAAGCGATTTGATCCGGAGTTAAACGTTGGTACCGGTTGTAAATAGAACCAGCGCGACGAAGCGCGACCCAAGCAATCGTTAGGCATTGTCTACCCGTATCAGACATACTTTTTACTTTTCACGCGAGGAGGTCATGTACACGATCAGCAACCCGTTATCGTGGATAGCTATACACCTCGTAGACAATGAATTTCCATTTAACAGCGTGCTGGAGTACTTACATTGCGTAACGAAAACGACGTACTTCACGAGTTAATGTGAATTTGATTGTCATTCGTTACCGTCCAGCTGTCGTTTCACGTAACCGAGTTGTATTCTATAATAGTAAATTGATGTCGTTTCCTTGACTCGATTAGTAACCGAGGAAGTGAACGAAACGAGACAGAAACATTGCTTACACGACACGTGAGTACATCATTCTCTTGTCCTGAAATATTGCAAATATTACCGCGAAGAGCGGAGAGAAAAAGTAAGGATACACAATAGGTTGTAAGGTGGAAAGTAAATTATGTAAAGTGAGCGTTTTGAAAACAGTTACGATAGATTGAAATCTAAATAAGCGGTAACTCGAATGGAACGTAAAGCGATAAAAACCGTGAGCGTGGAACGTGTACTTCTATGCGAATAGCATAAAGCGTTCGCAATTAAAGTTTACGGTAAACGCAGGCGGTTTCGTTTCACGGGTTCGTTCGAATCTCTTTTAAGCGAGCCAGGGAAAGGCGGCAGATTTAGCGCGTGTTCGGGGCATCGAGGTGTGCGCGGTGGATGGTCGCGTTAAGGAGGTTTCCCGGTTTGAATTACCGAGATTATCATTCTGCGTAAAGTTAGGGGTGTAAACGAATCCATTATTCGACAGTATGGATTAACAAAGAAAAAAAACAGATACCTACATCTTCGATCTCTTGTATCAAAGAAGTTTGAATCGTTCGGTGTATCCTTTTCGAAGCAAATTTCGTTAAATCGGAAATTTTGAACATAGATTTTTCCTTACGGTCACATTTAACTATTCACCATCTGCAAGATGATTAGGTTTATTAGAACGAAAGAAAAGATGAATTGCATTTTCTGTCTCAGTGAAAAGTAGATTCGCCAACAATAATAAAAGAATGAATCCGTCGTCCCATTATTTGTCGCTGCCGATAAGTATAGCTTTCGAAGGAAAAGCCTTTGCTGACAACGATAGATATATGTATAGCTACCGTAGTTCAAGCCCAACGTATTACGCGCGATACGGAAATGTAGGTAAGTACTTATGTATGTATATGGAAGAGCAAACTCTCCAAGTTGTTCACTTTCACTTGCGCCAAGGGAGAAATTGATATGAATCGAGACACGATTGTTTTCAGAAACAAACCTTCGATATAGACGTTACTAACGTTTAGTAATTAACTTCCATGGGTATACGATTCTCAATTTCGTTTTTTTTTTTTTTCGTAGGAAAGATGTACAGGGAACGGTGGTGTACAACGCGGTGTCCCTTGATTGCACGTGGAACGAGCTGATTAAGAAAGGTAGTCAAGGCAATCGAAAGTTTACATATCCGACTTTTGGATTCCGTGGTATGACATCTTCGGCAGCCTTACATTGGATTCTAGTGATGCTTTTTGAATGGTTGCCATCCGTGCTTTGCGACACGATTCTCGGCCTCTGCGGAGCGAAGAAAAGGTATAACGAACTGGAAGTTTACTATATCCGATCTCCCTGAGTCGCCAGTTCGAAAGGACTCTGTTGACACTCGCGTGAGCGGTTCTACGAAAATTTACGAAAGGATACCGCGAACACCGAATACCGAGTTTCAAAACCGACGAAATTCGTATCGATGAGAAACTTTCGTCGATACTCGTCGAATGTAGAAGTTACGACGAAGACAGGAGAAAAGGTATTCGATTCTCGTGATCGTACGATTTTTAGTAGCCACTCATTAAACTCGGAGTTTCGTTCAGTTTGCGATTTCTAGGCAATTTCCATCGCGACACGACGCGCTAAAGCTCGAAATGGCTATCCGAAAGTAATTCTCGGGGGTGGGGGGTAAAGAATCCGCGAGCACGGGAGTTGAGTTATTGGACGCGAGGCAGCGTGGGAAGTAGGAAATCCGTGGGTGAAGTTCCCGGAAAGAACCATTGAGGAAGATTTTCAGAAAAGTTTGATCACAATGTTCGCAGAGGCGCACAGGGCGAGTGATGCACTCGGTCGCGGGAACGCGACGCGGAGCACTTGGTAAATGCGATGCAATCGTAAAAAAGTAAAAGTTATCTCGAACTACGATTTACCCGAATACCAAAGTAAACAGCTTTTCCACGGTATTCGGCTAGACAGCGAAAGAAAGAGGAACTGAAAGGGGTAGCGGAGGACGGTAAAAAGACAAACAGTCGAAAGGAAACTCGTTTTCCCCGCGGGAAACTCGCGCGGATTTGGTCTCTGATTGCTTTTAAAAATCGTAAGTTTGGTTCAGTGACGGTGGGTGGGTGGGGGGGGGGGTAGGGAAACTTCCCGAAAAATCTTGACAGTTCTCTCTCGCTCTCCCTCTCTTTCACGGGCGAACTAGTCTACGCGGTTTTAACTTTTTCTTCGACTTGATTCTTGAACCAGTGCGCCGAATGGTTGGCCAAGAAACTGCAAAAAATACGAGGTTGCACGCGACTTGCGTTCTTAGCAAGAACCGCTTTTAACGCTAACATCCGGAGAGATTAAACCCACTTCGTAAAAAGTTACACGAGTTTTCGTCACTGGACAGTCGTGGGACGCGAGTTTCCGTCGCATGAAGAAGTAAACAAAATATACATACGTATTCATGTATTTGCGCTGAAATGTCGAATGTCGGTGTGCGCTGCGAGACTCTAACCAACCTCCTACCCCGAATCTATTGTTAACGATACAATGCATGCATCGTCCTGGATAAAACAGTCACGATATAGCGTTAATATTTCAGACAGCGAGCACCCGAAAGAGTTTCTCGAGAATTCAATTTAGAAATTGAATCGAAAACATGCGTATAGACAAAGTCAGTGAATCGATAAGAATATTTTTCGTTCTTGTATTTTCTGTTCGAGAAAAATTTCGAATGGAACAGGAAGAACTTGTTGATGAAACGTAGAGAAATTTTAATTAGTCGACATGGAAGAGATTGAGTTTCTCGGGCGTAGAAACCTTGAAGCGGTTGCAATTCATTAAACACTTTTTTTTTGCGCTTGTGATTAGTTGGAAAATCTGGTGTATTAACCTCTCGCGACCAGGAGAAACATTCGGAAGATGCGTTGAATCGTACGGACCGATGATTACGCGACGACGAGAACGAAAACGAGCTGGAAAATTTAGCGTGTATCTAATCCGAGTAAAATCATGATAGGAAGGAGGATCCGGTTTCGAAAGAAATAGATGCGAATCGAAGAATCGAGTAAAAAAGTAACAAGGGGTTCCGAACGAACGTGGCATTCGGATGGCAAGGAGAAGAAGTAGCGTCGAGGGGAAAAAAGATCAGTCGTTCTGGAAAAAACCTTTGCTTCTTCACAGGCTTCTACAGGAGCACCGGAAAGTTCGTAATGCACTTCGATCTCTTGAGTCAATTTCATGGAGGTCCTGGTCAGCAGAGAGGAATCATGTGTATCAGCTCCAACAACGTCTCACCCCAGAAGACCAAGATGCATTTCCGGTTGCCACGGAAATCGACATCGAGAGTTACGTACTATGCGCTGCCGCGGCCGCCAGGAAGCATTGCGTCGACGAGGCCAATATCAGTCTCGTAAAAATCTTTCGGCTACTTTTCTTCTTCCTAGTCGGGACTGCCATCCTCTACTCGCTCTTCTTCTATAAACATCGCACGGCCATCTGGGACCTTACACCCTAAGCGATTGTCCGAGTTTCAACGCATTCAACGAGTGCTGTATATCGTTGGTAACATGCTAAACTATACATATAATCTCGTGGTACGCTTACTCTAAGACCGCTGACATTTTGAATCATGTTTCGTCGATAATTCTATTCCATGCGATTAGTTCGATACGTAGTAATTCCTCAAATAAATTTATACGTGTATGCTGGATGCAACTTTAACGAGTCGATCGTTTCTCGAACAATTTTCTAGAGGAAAAGTTAAGTAGATACGCAGGTGATGGGAAAGGACACACTTGGTACAAAAGTTATGGTCCATCAAGGTTACGCAAGTATAACTAAGCCTGTTACCTGGCGTGAGCATGAACGATAAAGAAGAAATGAATTGAATGGCCAATAATTTTTACCTTAAATATCGTATATTTCAAATAGGTGTATACGATGTGCGTATAGGTACATATATCAGATAAAAGGTTAAAATTGAACTATCAAAACGTACAATTATAGTAAACATTTGTCAAAAAGTGTGCATCATATAGAGTTCATGTTCGAAGAAGTAAACTATACTACGTTTTGTGTAAGTTTAATAAAAGTCAAGAACCCGTCTCCGAATGATTGTTAGAATCCAAAGTGTACTTAAAACGTATCCTACATTCGCGCAAGGTTGGAAAAAAATTTCATCCCGGAACCGACTTGACTTGCTAAAATACGAAGGCATTTCCACTAGAGAAAATTCTATTTTTATAAAAAGAAGACATCGTATACAAACGGAAGTCCAACTTTTTTTTACGTTTTTCTCTCTCTCATTGGTTCAAACCGCGGTACGTGTATAACCGTATAATAATGTCAGGATCCAACGAGTTAATTTGAATGCCGCTCTTACCGTGCAGGTCAACAGTATTATTGCTCAAAGTGCTGGCCGCATAATTGGAGGAAAAGTTTGTTCCCTTCCTCGCCCCTTTTTTCCCTGTCAACTGTACAACTTTAGTACGTCTCAACTGCCATTCAAGTAGACTTGAACCGTCCGTGCGACACTTTAAACGTTCGTAACAGCTGTCTCCGAATTTTTGAAATAATTTACTTTAACAAACAAACGAATGTTTTCGCGGAACGTGAAATTGGAACGGATTTCTAGGTACCTACGTATATGTATATACTCCGCCGACAAAGTATTTCCACGATGTTCAAGGAAGGAGACGAGACCAGTTTTAATTTCAAGTGTCCATCCGTGTCGGTATTATTAGCCGGGCCAGTTTAATCTCAGTTTACGACGAATTTCGTGTCCACGTCCACCGGTGAATGTTATACATCGTTTTTATTTCTCATCTATGAAGCGAATACATTAAGTTTCCGTGTAGAGCAAACTAATGAAATAGACAGAATCGTTGTTTTTTGGTCGTAATGCCTGTTATTGCCAAAGAACTTATTTCGACACGCAAACTCTACGTATTTGGTTTGATTTCAGCTGATAAGACAGAATATTTTAACGCACCACGCAATGCAGTTATTGCATCGATAGGCACGAAACTTTCACGTACAGTTGCTTGTCCGAAAAGGGTACAAATGAGATGTTACGACAGAGTAATATACGGGACACTTCCAACGCAACTGTAAGTATAAGAAAGTGAAAAAAAAAAACAAGCTACAGGTGGAGTTAGGTAAATTCGAAAATACCAGACAGCTGGGTTGATATTATACAATCGACATTAGAGGGTCACACGGAAACTTATTTGACGAGTACATCGGTATTCACGGTATCGAGTGTATAAATATGGCTGCAGTCGAGCGGAGTGCATGGCAAATATTCGTGAGAATCGCGCAAGGCGCCTTTGCAGGAGAGAATGCGATTCTGGTGAAAGTTTGCCGGAGAACATCGACATACTTGCTTTCGTGCAGAGCCAAGGAACACGTATCTCCTCGCATGTTTCTCCTTACGTAACGCGTTGCATGCGTTACGTAGCTGCGTTTATCGCGCTCACCGATCTACCGCCGAGCACTATGTACCTACCTGAAAAAATGCCGAACCAACCTCCGCGCCGTGACTTACCTGTCGCATGTCGGTAAATGACTTTCGATCCCGTCGACTGAAGTATCGGTGACTCTGCAATGTTTCCAAACTTCTACGAGGTATAGTAAAAGGCTTCTTTCCAAATTACATTTCAAACGTAAATATACTTGAGCGAAAAATAGAAAAAAAAAAACTGTTTCTCGCGAGTAAACAAGAGGAACCGTGATTGCGTAAAACAGATTTAAGATTGTAGTTTACGTTAAACTAGCTTATAATGTTTGTAACTCGACGTACACGCAGAAAAGTGTCCATACTGAGATTAAAATAAATCGCGTGACCGTACAAAGTTTGAACAGGTAAGCAAAACATTATATGTAGTTCGGAATGATCGTGATAAAAGTATGGGCGTGGTTGTATGTATGCGTACAGAGTAAAATGCTTACAAAATTCAGGGAGAATAACGAGAAATTTTTGTTCAATGATCGCATTGTGTTCAGTGAAAATCTTGTTACAGGCTTACTCCATCTTTGCGTGTTTAGTTTCTGTAATCGCGTACAGTGTGAACGAAGTATGTACTTATTCTTTCGAGACGAAGATGGGTCACCCTATACGCGAGCCAAGATGTACCTACAGTCGGGTAAACGGTACGTATTAATCGCGAGAGATGGGTAAGTCCTTAATATTCTCATCAACGTAACGAAGAAGCAATAACTCTCGCCGTTTTGAGCCCCTTTTCCATCAGAAAGTTTGTTCGCGTGACTACATATAACGGGAGGCGCGGATCCAAGTTATGCTTTTAAAATCCTGTTACCGGTTGCGAGCGCGAAATTTAACAAAGAAACTTACAGATTAGTTCCACAAGATATAATTGGACGTGGTGGCTGGAACTGTGCCTTCATAATAATAATAATTGGGGAACGTCTGTTCTACGAAACGAAGTTCCTCGAGCTGACTGGCTGGCTGGCTGACTGCCTGCGTACCGGAGGAACAGAGAACGGTACGATCGCTGGGGTTGGTGGACGAAATAGGGGAACTTTACGGTTGAACAGAGAAAATAGAACAGACTGCGAAAAAGGGGGAGTGTAGAAGGGGAAAGCGGTAGAAGGAAGAGGAAAGATTAAAAGATACGAACGGTTTGAAGGAGGGAAAGGACGGAATGAAAGAGACGGGGGCAAAAGTACGTGTTCAATTTCATTGCAACGGGAATGAATGAGATGTATACATATATTTACGTATACGAATTGCCTCTTCGAGAAAGTGGCTTACGTTGGCTCGCCCGCCACGACAAAATGCCACGTTCCGGCAAAGGAACATCAAAGAGGCCCCTGTAAATCCATTCAGCTCGCTTTATTTTCATAGAAATATTTTAGCTAGCGTAGCCAGCGTTAAGTACGTCCGTTTCTCGAATGACGTGCCCCATCGCAGCTCGTCGTTCTCCTCGCAGAGACGCGCGCACGTTTCTCGGTTGATCGCACCGCTTATTCAATTTCCCTCCGACGGGGCAACGCGCGACCACGGTGATTCGATGAAAAACGATTTTTCCACTTCGCACGGTCTTATCTTCGACTGGATGACTTTCGTTCGCCGGCCTGCTGCTCTTCGGTTTCAGGATAAAAATTATCATAGCCCGACATCATTGCGGGGGGGACACCCCCTTAAAAGTGTTTCGCCGTTCAAGATATTTGCCTTAAAGCGAACTTGGATATAACCGACCACTCCGCCGCCTGCTATCCGACCAATTTTCCCAGGCTTTTATTCGTTTCCCAAGAACGAACACTTTGCCCGTATTATCAGTTTTATACCGTGCCCGAAACGTCACACGAGTACCTACGGCATTCTCGTGACTTTTTAGCCTCACGCACAATTCGTGTTTCGTCGAATTCGATGTTCCGATGAAGTTCGAGTAGATCGATGGGTTGCACCTCAAATTGTCCATCGAATTTTAACACGTTGACTGCCACAGTGAAAAAGGCCGTACGTAGTCAGACACGCTTTATTACGTTTTTTAAGTCATAAATTGTCGAAAATATTTAAGTTTAGTTAATAGAGGCTGTAGATCTTGTTTTAAATTATACTGTGATAGTAATTTCATGCAAACATTTTATAACAGTGTTTAAATAATCCAGACACTTTTCAATGTACGTGTCACCCATATTTGGGTGACGTGGCAGTCAAAGTGTTAAACTTGGGTTGGATCCGAACATTTTTGGAAATAATACAATGGTGAATACGCGACACAACATACGGTACTTATATGTTTGTTACCTTTGTCGAGTACCTATAGCACATACCCTTTCGACCGAGAAAGCAGCTCCTCGACGATCATCGAGTAAAGCTGTTTCTCCGTGGACCTTAAAACGCGGAATGGAGAAATCCTGTAGACCAAGAGATTTGCCGTGAGTCGGTTCGGCACTAGGAGTCAACCTCTTTGTCGTTGTTTTTACCGACAAGTCTTTTCCATTGGTTGCTCCGTTTTGTTTCGGTATTTCCGGAACGATCCAGCTTGCTCCCGAGGCGTCGGTATTAATTGGATGGAAGAAAAGCTACGTGTCTCTATTATTTGCGATCTTCATTCCACGTGATCCCTCGACACGACGAACCACCGTGTTTCCTTTTCCGGCGTTCCTGTAACGATGGTCCCGAGGAAATAGAATCGTCACCGACACGATTAATCTCCCAATTACAATGGAACAGCCAGCCAATTCGGTGCAGCGCCGCGTTTGGTAATCGTACCCCTCTCTATTTTGCAAGAAAATGAATTCGGAACGAATCGGAGGAACAATCGCGACAGCAATAATTCACCGAGCACTGGAGAAATAGGTATAAGTACGTAGATATAGATAAAGTGTGTCAAAGGCCCCATTCACTTTCAAGAATGTTATATTTCGAAATACACGTTTTACGGTGCAATTGTTGTATCATAATATAAACGTTTTATTTATATCTTTCCATTTATTGGATTATGGTACAGAATTAAGACTGCGTGAAATATTTTACCGCACGCCTCGTTTTACGTAAGCTCCACATCGTCCACGGTATAACAATAAGGGAAACGAAGATGGACATAATGAAGAAATGCAGCGGAAAAATGAGCAAGAAGGCAGAACACGATCCTCCATGTAGAAAGAAAAGAAGACAAAGCGGATAAATAGAGCGCATGAATACGAACGGAAGAGCCGCTACGGAAAAAGCAATGGGTTTGCGAGCGCATGCCTCCACGCAAGGGTTCACTGTCGTCAATCTGGACGCGTATGCATGGATATTTTTCTCGCAACAGGGTTTCCCAAATTGTCTATAAAAATTTTGAAAAAGACATGTTGCGATTATAATACCAATTCCACGATTAGTCTGTATCATGAGTCACGGTAGAAAACTTAAATCAAACCTAAAGATAGTCGCCGGAATGTCAGCGAACGTCGTTCGTTTCTTCGCAAAACTGAAAGAAACGTCGAAGTCCCATTCCAGGCGCGCGCGAAACAGGTTGCGATACGCCGTTATCGAGAAAGTCCATCCTCGGCGAGGTGCAAACGCGAATAGACATTGTCGTGGCGAAAGCTAAAGGCACGCGAATGTGTATGCAAAGGTAAACCGCTAGAAGGTTGGAGCGAATGAAAGAGTAATGCAACCACTGCTCTCGTCTGAAGGAGGGCGTGATGGAGGAGAAGGGTGGCGCGTAAGTTATAGTTGGTATTGTGCGAAAGACCCTCTGGCAAAGTTGCGCGAATTCGAAGAGGGTGTAGGCAGCAGACTCCTCCAGCAGCTAAGCAGCTTTTCCCATTGCCGAGCGAGCCGCGTGCGAGCCACGGACGCGTCAGTTAATCTACACCCTCGACGCGTTAAGCTAAGCTTTTTTAACGGTCTCTTTTTCTCTTTCACCATCCGGACGACGGCTCTCGACAGGAACACCGCTCGTTCGGTCGCACGCGCGCACGTTGTCTCACCCTCTACCCTCCCTTAGTCTACCTCTATCTACCTCCATCTACCTCCCCTCTTTCCAGCCCCCGAGAAACCGCTATACCTTAATTGAAAATCCTCCTTTATGTCGATGGGCTCGATGGCCAAGACGGTGTTTCGCTCCTCGTTTCTGCTGCCTCTTGAATTTTCGCCAAACCAGGATACGCTAGCGTCGTCTCAATTATCTCGATTTTCGCCTCGTTTTGTGCGTTAAGTTTATTCGCACAAATCGGCCAAGTATCTTGCAAAGCTTCGTACTTTCCGATCGAATTAATAATCCTGGAAGACGAATTGTCGGTTAGTCCGCGTGAGAAAAAAAAAACAAAAAATAATCACGCAATGAGTTACTAGACACGAAGTTTCGGAGCAATAACTCGGTCGGTTCGCTAAACCTACTTACACCGTGACTACGAATTCCGGAACGCTCGGCGTTCGGTTAGACTAAACTGTTAGACGATTCTGGGCGGATAAACAGAGCTCGGCTTTGGTTAAACTTACGGGGTAACGGTAGGTGTGCTGCACAGATTTCGGATAATCTTGGGTTTAACAACGATGATCGCGCGCACCGAAGCACGCCGGCAACGTTTGCTGCATAATTATTACAATTAAATAAACTTTGATTCCCCGGTATAATTAACGGATCCGCTAGAAATATTTTCGGTGCTGCATAGCTGGTGGAACCATCTTTCGACTGCAAACACCGTCGAAACTCTGGCACGTATTACGAGATACATCTTTACCCAGCGTTTGTTCGCGAGACACGGCGTGATTCTTGGTTGAAAAATTATGTATTTTACATGCTATGCCGTTTAATAACTGGAAAAAGAAGACTCCAACAATTTTTCGTCATTTTCAAAGTTCAGCGTTATTTGGACACGTAGAGTGAACCGTTAACGTTTCCGACACCAGTAACCGAACACCCTATACATGTATAAATAGCTAAGGGAGAGGAGTATCTGTCTTTGGAAGTTACGAAGAATAGTCACGATTCAATTGTAGGCGCAAAGTCGATCGGTTTAATGGCGAAGAACATCCGGGATGGATAATTAAAAACAATGGAACGTGTTCGGTCGATCGTTTTAATTACTCCCTCCGGCGATAGACTAATCGACTTTCAATGAAACGCCCTGCCGATGGTATATACCGCAATTGTCCGACAGCTCCTTCTACTTCGAGCTGTCTGGAACCGTGAGCGTCTCGTTACCGTTTAGCGATCGCAAAACTCCGCGTAACTCGTGCCTGTAAAACAATGATGGGCAGCTCAATGCCCGCGAAACTCACTGGCGGGCAACGGCGTGCAGCGTGCGGGCATATGGCAGTGGTGGGTTAAATGTGCAGGTTTTTCCGCCATCTTTGATTCAGAAAAGTGTCGGAAAAATTTGGGAATTTATGTGACATTTAGAATGAACAGAACTTCTTCTAAAACTTCAAAGTTTTAGAATTAATTATTTTGTCATTATTTATTATTTCTTATTACTTTTTTGGGTAATTGATATTAGGAATAGGAGTGGAGATAGTGCGGGATTAAAGGCAACATTTTCGCGTGGCCGACACACGATCAGGTTGCTTTTATATTTTTTTTTAATAAAAAGAAACATGAATGATTATTAATCTATACGAGTGATACTCTAGTTTAGAATAAAATGTGCGGGAAGGGTCAAGGAATCCCAATGCACAAATATGTCGTGACGTTTCCTGCCTCGCACCGCCTCCGCAGGAGCCCTCGGCTGCCACGCCCACTTGCCCGTGCGGGCAACGGGCTCGGTTGCCGCTTTACTGCTGTAAAACGAGCGGGAATACAATTTTTCCCTATCATTCGCACAATAATCTGAATATTATTGCGCGACCGAGTGGACAAAGACGGAAAACGGGGTGAAATCGTATTTGCACCGAAGCGAAACGTTTGGAATTTTTCACAGAAATTCATTTATTTGCGTCTTCTTAGCGGGATGAGAGAGGGAAACGTCGCGTCGTGCCGAATACAACCGCATTACGTAGCAAGTTTCTGTGCTCGCGGCGTACACTGGGAAACTTCGTACATGCGGCGGACATCGTGGAATCACGAGTTACACTCGGCAATTACGAGCACCGCGAGGCGAATAATTATTATTATTGTCTGCCGCATTATCCTTACGGGTCCTCGAGAAGCGGGATAACGTTGCTACGTATAGCGGTAAGCTGCTTTGGTAAACGAGACGCCGCGCCGTCTTCTGGTTCACGCGAAACGTATTTAAACGCCTCTTCTCTTCTTACAATTAAATATTGCATTCCATTGCTGCTCTGGCCAGAAAAATAACGACTGTAACGCGGCTACATATCCGTTTTCGCGTAAAATGCGCCGATCGGGTTTCTTAATGCGTTTCACTCTGCTTCGACGCTACGTGAACATAAAAATACATGTATGCGGTTCTATAAATTTTCATCCATCGATCGGTTACGAAGGTGTTTTGTCGGGAACATTTCTCTGCGAGTCCGGATGTATCGAACGATTAACGAGCGATAACCGAGCAGCATAGAAAATAACGATGACGAAAAGACGAAGCCACGCGTGTTCGAGCTAACGGTTATATAGGTGGCTGAAAGCATTCGAAAGAAATTTCTTTTTTTTACTCCCAGACAACTTGCTCCGTCGTGTTCTGTGCTCGAGAATCCATAGATGCGCCATGGGCATCGAAGCGGCAACGGAATACGAACGCGCAAAGTTTCAGACGTCAATGCGTCCTTTATACCGACCGCTTTTCATTTCTTTTCCATTTCGCGGTGAAAGGTGTAAAACGTTGCTAGCCGTGTATATGCGGATCTTCACGCGCGCTTCAAAACGAGGGAATACATTTCCGGAATCGAGATGCAACGTGCAACAAACGGTACCCGCGCAACCACAGGACGCGGTTTCCACCCCCTAGGACCGGTTTAGCGCGCCGATACGTTCTTGATAACAATGGAACAAACTATTCGATCGAATTCCGTGTCGATTGAAAAGAAGAACGCGTCGACGCGACGCTCGAACTCGGAAGACGCGTCTATTGATTCAACCGAACGAAGGAAACTAAGACGTGAGCGAAGGCGAGAACGGGCTCCAATTTCTGTATGTGTTTGCTCCAGCGTAACTCCGTCGAGCGTTTCGTTACGTAAAACGACGCTGCTCTTGGGTTCGCGCTTTTCGCGTGCGCTTATGTACACACTTACAGGTTAGTGTTTATGTATCATTTATGCGCCGCTTCGGCCGTAGAAAAGCCGTCTTTTCGCGTAGACCGAGAGCACGGCCTGGGCCGACGCCACGAGCGTGCGTGTCCCCTTCAGATAACGTTTGAATTATCAACTAACCCTTCTCCGTCACAACCGTCTCGGGAGCCATCCCTGATATACCTACTATACACTATATGTATACTATACATACTATCGACTACGACCCTCTGTTCCCGTTCGGATACGGAGTTAGTTTCCTTCCTCCTTCCACCGCCTATATTCCACGAACAGCTGTTTCTCAATGTCCCGTGTATTCGCGATAAAACCGTATCAATTTCAAATCCACTGGTCTGTCGACACGGTCGTTTAAATACTCGTCGCCTACGAGGAGGCAACAACTTTGAAGATCATTTCAACCCGTTGTTACATACACACGTCAAGATACATAGATGATTGGCGCAGCGAATCCTAGTCGTTGGTACTGCGAACCTTTTACGACAAGCACTGCTGTAAGTTAATTACAAGAAAACGAGCTGGAAACAGAAGCATCGACCATCCCATTGCGCACGAAGCTTGTTGAAACGTTCAACGTTAGACATGGGAGAATACAAAGCACAT